GGAAGTTTTACTCCTCATGTTTTAGTAATTGTAAGTAAGAAAAACTGTCCAGAGAGGGGAGGTATCCATACAAATGGTGTAATCCCCAAAGATTTCATGGGAGAGTCAAAAATGATCCATGCCTGGGCGAGCGACATTTATATGAAGGGAAAAGGGCATCCTAGGGGACAGGCCATGACATGGTCAGTAGCTTTGAGATGAGTCCTCAGAGTTAATAGATTTATCACAAGCGTGTGGCTTTGTGCTGAGGTGCTCTGAAAAGAAGGTCAGATGTGGTATAGTGGAAGCAGTTAATGTAAGGCGGATTAGTTGGCCATAACTTGTAGACAGTGTGGAGTCATGGGAGGATCTTGAATGCCAATGCTGGAGGATTATTGCATCAAATAAGGAAATGAGAATAGGGAAAAAAAGATGCATTATTCTTAACAATTTAAGTGCTCAGAGAATATGGACTGTGCAATACTTTCAGGAGGTGAAAAGCTTTCAAAAATATGATCTATAAAGGAAATAATAAAAGTCATCATTGGAAATGAGAAGAAAGTAAATGATGGGTCTGATGAAATAAAATAATGATTTCCATTGACTATATGGACATATTTGAATTGCTGCCTGGGAATAGCATTGCTGTCTCAGTGGATGTTCAGTAGCCCTGTGACTGATGCTAAAAACAGTACAAACTGTAGTATCAACACATCTGAATGGTGTTCAGATAATCACAACCAGCAAGGTTTTGAAGAGTGGTCCCTGTCACTCTGTGGGTTAGAGATGGAGCCAATCGGTCTGCAGTGCCCTCTCTTGCTGCTCTTGGAGGTCCCAGGAGGTGGGAGGCGCTCAGCTGTTCACATTTGTACCCCAGAAAAAAGAGGCAGGACGTAGGTGGGTTGCAGGGATACAGTTTTAAATAGCTCCTAAGAACAATGGATACCATGGAAATGATTTAGGGGCGTTGATATAGAAAAAGGAAACCAAAAAAGTTGAAGAAAATTAGAAAAGAATGAATCACCACCAAAAATGAAAGGTAGATGACGTTCTCCCTCTTTTGCACACACTCCCTCCTTCCCATGCATATTCTCTCTCACACACACACACACACACACACACATTCGCGCACACAGGCTGACACAGAACAGTATTTGCATTGCAGTAACAACAGGCTAAGGAACAATAGATAAAAAATAATTACAGGTTTGTGTTGTTAAAAATGATAAATATCTGGCAGTTTCATGTAGTTTGTGTTAATATTTGTATCAGCACACACATGTATATTTAATCATACATATATGTATGTATATAAAATTATTAGGGAAAAACCTAGACATGTGTGTATCATAAAACATTAACAATAGGGGTTTACTACATTTTGAGTTTTTTAAATTTCTTCTGTGCTTGTGTATACTTTTTATTTTGGAGGGAGTAGCTGCTTAGAAGTTCTATAAATAATGATTTAAAAGAAAATATGACAATTTAAAAAAATTAAAAAGCACTTTAAAATCTGACTTGCAGTTACACAGACTGTGCAACTGATTTATAATTACCCATCAATTTTCCTTTACCTTGAATCTACCTCTCAGTATGTGAAATAGAACCACAGCTCAGCTGCCACTAGTTCCAAATTGCAACCTTTCTGTGCCTACAAGATACAAAAGGGACCTTCCCAGGCCTATCTGTGAACCACAGACACTCACGAGGCTCCTTAAGGGGGCAGAGACTATGGAGGACCGCACAGAGTCCCAAATATGCTGCCAGGAAGCGGCAATAATCACAAAAGCGTGAAACCCAATTAATCAGGATCTCCTGGAGCAGAGCCCAGTCAAGGGCATTTATTTTAAAAGCTCCCCAGGTGATTCTTTTGCGCCACCCACCTTAAGAACCACAACTGTAATGGATTAATTTACTAAGGGGTCATTTGAATATGGCCTTTGAAAAGAGGTAAAATTAAGGCAGAGAGGAATTGCTTGACCAAGGCCAAGCAGTTGCAAGGCCCTGAGCCTTGTGAGAAAATGACTGCTCAAACACAATGACCAAACACTGACTGTAGAGTGGGCAGTTCTCCCAGCTTTAGAAGGGTCCGCATGTGGTCCTCCCTCACACTCACAGTGAACGGATGTGAGATCAGACACATCTGGTTGGGAAAATGCTCTGCGTTGCAGCTTGCTCTCAAGGTTACCTTATCACACAAAGATACTGGACAGCAAAATCCAGATTTGATGCTAAGACCAGGGGACCAAAGCTCTTTTGGGCCCCAGAGGCAGCCAACTCTGCCCATAAGAGGATGCTGCCAGATGCGTAAGACACTCTGGATTTTAGCAGGAAGACTCTTAGGGAACAGCAACACCCCCTTTTTTCACTCTGCTTTAGGGAATGATGTAGAAGAAGTCTGGGGGCATGTCTGGCTTCTGTCCTGCACATTGAGAACAGGTGAAAGCAGGGGAGCCTAGCAGCCTTCTCATTTCTGCCCTGACACTTGGGTTCCATTGTGTAATGGTGAGCACTCTGATTTTTGCCCTTTTTACCTCTGAGGAAACTACAGTTTTGCTTCGTGTGGGTCTCATAAGAGCAGAGATAAGATCTAAACACTAGTGTAAGTTTCATTTAAGTATTCTCAAAATGCAGTAGAATTGTGGATGTGGGATTCTAACTTATCTGAGCATTAGCACAAGCAGGCGTTTTTCTCTCTGACCAAATGATGCTCATAGCAGTCACCATGGCTATTAGCAGCTACTGCAGTCATGTGCTACCACTGCACTTACTGCAGACAAACATATTAGCCTTATACAACATGGCCTTGCATCTGTCACCATTTCCACTTTACTGTAGCGAACACAGGAGTCACACAGGAAGGATGTAAGGAATTCAACATTTCAATCTACTAAGGCCGAGTTGGCACTAGCTGCACAGTGACAATGACCACGGCACAAAAGCACATGCTGGGGGCAGTGGCCTCTCCAGTGTGCCTGTATGGGCCTTGGACAGGGCACTTAAGCACTGTTCCGTTTCCACTCTTAGAAACGGACCCGGCATAAAGCTACCACCCCATGTGGGGTGTTTTCAGTATGAGTTTTGGGCCAGGCTATATTGGTGGGGTGTTTTCCAGTCAGTATATATCTCACCTGTTTTCAGTTCAGTTTTATTTTGTGACCTGGCATAACCTACCTTACTGTGGTTCAGAAGGAAGAAGATATTGTTAGGCTCAGCCAGAGATCCAGACAGATGCTCTGCATGCCTCCTCCCCTGATGGGAGCAAAGCCTCCCTCCAACATCTCAGCCTTGCCCTGCCAGCACCGCTGCACCCCTGCCCAGTGCTTTCAGATGCCATGCAACAGGCAAAGACTGAAGTTAGGTTAAACCCACCAGTCATTTCATTCTAATTCTTGAGCGCATCTGCATCTGGACTTCTCAGGAGCCACCTGCTCTGGGGAAATCTAGTGGTGCCGAATCTGTGCAGTAAGGCAAATGCCAGCATCGTGTTTGCAGACCTGACTCTGTGAAAATCTGACACAATCATACATAAACAAATTATTGTTTTTAACGGGATGTTTTTCATGCTTAAAATTTGCCAAATATTACCCTTCAGCATCTCACTTTCCCTTTCCATTTTTCTCTTAAAAAAAAAAAAAAAAGTTTGACTCATTTGCTAATGTGTGATTTAGGCCCAACTTGGAAAAGCTACTTCCAGAGCCAACTAGGTGGCAAAACACACAACCACTGCATTTGAAGCACAGTGTATTTTTATACCATGAGGGCTTTTCTGAGCAAATCAGCATTAAATGTAGGCATAGGTTAGGGTACAAAAAATCCCACGATGAACTGTGAACGTATCGATCTGCCTGAGAGGGTTTCAGTGCAGTCAGTTGGATAGTATTTGTGAAATTCTCAAACGGGTACTGTGGCAGACTTGATTCAGTTAAAAGCATAATTCGAAATGACAGTCTCACTCTGGGTAGCTCACATTCAGGCACACAGAGAAGCAGTCTGCGGAGGGGACCTTGCAGCACCCTCTGAAGCTGTGCAACCAGTGACAGAAGCAGGTCTTGCAGTCCTCCAGTGTCGCAGCTAGGCTCCGGAGGGCCGAGAGTAGGGACAAAGGCCATGTGATCCTCTGAAGTGTCGGTGCGGCGCCCGATCGGTAGTGGTTTCTGCAGACTGGTGGCTTCTGGATAAGCAGAGATAGGACCAGGGTGTGGGGACTAGGGAAGAGAGCTACCGTGGTATAAAACCAAGTCAGCCACAGAACTGTATCTCTGTGGAATCGGTACACAGGATTGGATCTGGTGCTGGGAGATGGGACAGCAGAGAGGATGGAGGGCATGGGGAGAAATGACAGAAAGGACCGTGCCGAGCTCTGGCTTCGAATCCTACCCGGTGTCTTCTCTTCCTGCACCTCATCCGGCAGACTGCTAAATACTGTGGTTGTAAAACAACTGATTCTCTCCCGGAACAGATGGTACACATTTTTAACAAACAACGAAGACATGAGACAAAGTCATCTCTTAACAACACAACCCCAATGTGTCCACAGTGTTGAACCCAGAGCCCCAGAGAATGTGTCAAGAGATGGTCTTTGGACCCCACGTCCACCACGATGACCGCAAACCAGCACAGGGTCGCTTTGAATATCATCTACTGCTCTCCCTTTCTGTCATCATATGTAGTGAAATTACATCTCTTACCTGAGCAAGACTCTTGCTGTATATAGAAAAGGAATGGGGAGCAAGCTCACCATTCTTATGCTGAAAAGAATCTAGCACAGGCCACAGAGAAAAATGCTAGGAAATCTGAGGGAAAAGTAAAATTAAAAAAATAATAATCATAGAAAAACCTTTCAAAAGAGGCAAATAAAATGCTAGAATGAAAAAGAAAAATGGACAGCAGAATCCGTATTATCTGCAAAAACATAGAAAATGTAACATTTATAGAGGTAGATCTAAAGTGATATAGGAAATATATCTGCTCCATGTAAATTTATTAAATGCAACTTTCTTTTTCTCTCTTTCTTTTAGATAAAAAACCTCTTCATGAAATAAAACCCCAAAGTAAGTTATTTTTCCTCTTGTGAATATAATTTATTCTCATATTTGCTGCCTTACTGTTGTATTTGTTTAGGAACCAGGAAGAATTTAAGTCCCTCTGAAAGAGCCAGTGCTTTGGGGGTGTCCTACTCAGTTCAGAGTCACCTATCAGGTTTATATCAAAAAGAAATATGCACACCTCTCCCCTCCCTGAGAGCAAAAGTAAATCTCTCTGCTTGATTCTTTCTGCCTCCACATCCACTGCTCTGCAAATGTCATCTTGGATTCTTATTTCCAGAGAAATTTATAGCGTTCAAATTAATAAATATTTGTCAGCACATACATTCCTGAGAGCAGGCTTTGGGCAAAGGCTGGCCCGAGGGCCTCCATGGAGAAAGGACAGCAGGAGTCAGAGGAGAAAGCAGAGCTGTTGAAGCAAACTCAGAATCCTACTTGCCTCGACCTCCATGGCAACTGGGTAGATCAGGAGCCAGAGCACCACAGTGAGATAATCACGAGCTCAGCGCTGACTTGGCGCTGGCTTGCTCTCCCTGGACGCAGGCTCACTTTACTGAAGAGGCTTTGGCATTCTTTCCACTTTTGCATCCAGGACATTTGGAGAAAGGAACATGACTTAAATGAGTAGCAGCTTGACATGCGACCCTGAAGTTCTCGGCTGTGATTACTTTAGAATCACCTGGAGGCCTTTTTCAAAATCCCAATTCCCAAACTCTATCAGTGAAATCACAATTTACAGTGAGGGGTACTAGAACCCAGGAATCCCTAGTTGTCAAAGTTGCCCAAGTGAGTCTAGTGTGCTTAGAATGAAAACCACTATCTCAGAAAAGTATCCTTCAAAAAAAGATCGGAAGCCAGGCATAATGGTGTGTAATCCTAGCACCCTGAGAGGCTGAAGCAGGCAGACCACTAGTTCAAACCCAGGTTGGGCAACTTGGCAATTTAGCATAACCCTTATGTATGGAAGTGGCTAGGTTCAAAGGCCTGGGTTCAATTCCTAGTACTGGAGAAAAAAAGTGGATCAGTGACCCCATGGATCCAAGTCTTGGGAGGTGGTTTCTGTTAAACATGCCATACCCCAGAACAGAGCAAATGGACTAGAATCCCCAGTGGGGTTGTCGCTCCGAATCTACCTGTCAATTTGCACAGTTAATAGACACTCAGAAAAAGGTGCCTCGGGAGAGAAGGCATCAGCAGCACAGCTCTTCAGCCAGCAGACTCAGCTCCTCAACTGGTTTGGTTTGTAAAGTTTATGAAAGATGTTCCTGCCCAATTTCTCTCATTTTGGGATAATATGGATAACTTTTGATCTTTTAAAACCAAGGGCACTGAAATTCAAAGAGCTTGGGAGCCTTAATAGTATTTCTTAGCTAACTTCTTCGAAAGAATTGAGATCATGTGAGGAGAGACAGAAATGGGTGTCTTGAGCAGGAGACATGTGAGAAATATCCAGAAAACCCATCCTGCTCACCCTTCCTTCTGTGCCATCAGACAGGCTGGCAACACATTGATGCCGTCAGTTGTTGAGTCTGAGGATTTTGTTAAACAACAAAAACGAACTTTCCTCTTTCTCTCCTGTCAGCTGCTCATAAAGGAGTCTTTGGTCCCTAAGGAACTGACTGCATGAGTGATTATGAATTCTTAGTAAGATGGAGGCTGGGGGAACCTGTGTGTGTATGCGCACATGCGGAGCAAAGAAGAACGAAATCAGTCACTGAACGTCCGGCCTCGCCTGCGTTCCTGGAGGGGGGCGTGAGGGGACACTCGCCTCCGCTTGGTCACATGTGCACGCCGTCAGCTGCTTCTGGTGTACAGCGAAAGCGAGATCACGGGTGGCCATTTGGTGACCAGTGTGAGGGTTACTTAGAGATGCATGTGTGTCTTTTTAAAATTAATTTCACGCTTAGTTTGTGAATCCTGTGCCATTCTAATTTGGTTACATCTGTACTTGCAGCCATAAACCCCACAGAAGCTATTTCTGGTCCTTAGGGACTCCTGAATTAGTTTTTACTTGGAGTTCTCGCTCCTGAGCACCATGCTTAATTGCTGGATACTGCAACGGAATCGCTTAAACAGTTTTAATTTGTGATTTCCCTAAAAATAAAACCTCAACAGAATCAATGTGATTGCAAAAGGCTCCCAGAGGAATCCAGTTGGGGTTCTGAAAGCTGCATGGTTAGGAGTGCAATATACAAATTCAGGCCGCAGTTGTTCTGTCAAAGTGGGTCTTAGTTTAAGACTGCATGAATCATCACTGATGCAAAATCAAAGTCAATTATGAACATAATTGAGAAACAACCTGTTCCTATATATAGCCACACACATGATCCTGTGCCAGGCCTGGTGGATGGGAAACATCACTCAGAGTGTTAAACACAGTCTTCCAGCAGCAGGCTGAGCAGAAGACCCAGCTCTGAGTTGTAGGGAGGTGCAAAAAAAAAAAAGGTGAAGTCTTAAGATATCTGTTGGCAAATCATAATGACAAACTGGGGGAAATGTGTGCTCTGCATAGCTCATGAAAGCACTTATTGTAAATGAGATAATTTAATCAATTACGTTTCCTAATGTACTAAACCGAATGTTTCATTTTCTGCTTCTGCACATCTTAAATTATCTTCAGGTGCTTTATGAGATTTAATCATAGTTAATAGAAACTTCATTACCATCAAATGTGCTTTCAATAAATGTTGTGTAACAATGTCAGAAGGTGCGATAAAATATAGTAAGTTGTGAATGGCAAACACACACCCAAAGAGTCAGACTGAGAAATGGTCCCGTTCAGACAATGAGACTCTTGGCAGCTCGGAGAATGTGGTTTCCTGAAAGGCCGGGAGCGCCTGAGGAGTGGCTGGCTGGGCACGTTCTCCTGAGGGGTGAAGTAACAGGCTCTAGCTTTCCTTTAACAACCGACTGGGCTCCATGCATTCTGTCCTCATCCCCTCCCCACGTAGTTGTTCTGTACCTAACAGAGATGGATAGTCAGCATGAGTCCAACAGCTTCAGAAGCCGCTATCTCGAGGGCATCTCCAGTTAAATATGTCCCCATAACCTTGATTTGAACTTCACAATTGAATTTATCCTACTCTACCCCGGTCTCTAATCTATTCTTCTTCTCATCTCTATTTCAGTGAATGGTTTACCATCAGCTCGGTTGGTTTGGGTGAGAAACTTGATAGCCTCCCCGACTCCCGTTTTCTTCACCTCCCTTCTGCTCAGTACCTAATAAATCATCACGATCTGATGGTTCTACCAAAAGAGATCTCAAGTGCATCTGCTTCTCCCCACTTGCACTGCACTGAAATCCCTTCCTGTGTTCATTCAAAGATCTTCCAGGGGATGGGGAATGAGCCCTCAGCACAACATATGCAGTTTCTACTTTCATAAAGCTCATGGTTTCAGTGAGGGGAAGTGGGGTAGAGAAACAAGGCAGCAAATGCACATCGCTGAGTGTGGTGGAGATGGTCTAAAGCACAGCGAAGGGAGATGCAGTAGGGACAGAGACTGAGAGAAGGCTGGAAGGAGGGTTGCTCACTGGTGTAAGACATTCAGAGATGGTGCGCAATGCAATTACACTTGAAAAGAGCGAGGGAAGGACACGAACTTCTGGGCATCTGGGGAACAAGCATTCAAGACAAAGGAAACAGCAGGATGCGAAGGTCATGTATGGGAGCTTGCGCAAAGTCTGGAACCGGTGAGGAGGAGAGGAACGGTAAAAGCAAAGGTCAGGGAAGTCGGGCGAAGGGTGGATCAACTCCAGAGGGTGTCCTAGGCCATGCTAGGGACTTTGGCATTTTTCTCTGCGAAAAGAGGGAAGATTTGGAGGTCTTCATTCAGAATGACAGGATCTAATATTTTCAAAGAAAAACTCTTAACTACTGTGGCAAGTGTAAACCTATAGAAAACCAAGGCGGAAGTGAAGGATCTGTTACAGTAGTCTATTCTGAGAGTAATCTGGTACAATCTCCAGGCTACTAGGAGAGTCTAGATTAAAGATGGCTGTAGCTGGGGCCAAATAGTAACAGTAACAATTGTAAAAAATGTCTGATACTGTGAAGACTCAAAAGGATTTTCTGGTAGACTGGGTGTTGAGTATGAAACAAAGAAAAAAGTTACAGATGATTCAAACATCTACCTCTGCAACAGGAAGGACAGGATAGCAGTTCCATCACTGAAATGGGGAAAGCTTGTGTAGCAAATCTGGAGGCAGAATCGAGAGTTCAGTTTAAGATACCTATCAAATTTCTAGGTAGATTGAGTAGGCAGTTGAATATATGGGTCTGGAGGGCAGAGGACTGGGCTGGCCAGTGACATAAATTTGGAGATTGTCGGATGATATTTAACACTATTATATCAGATGAGATCACTGGATGATGAGAGCGAATAACATCCAACGAGTGAGCCATGCAGAGCCGTAGCACTTGGAGACAGAGAAGAACAAAAGTCACTGTGGAGGAAAAAGAAAAGCAACTCCATGACAGTAAGAGAAAATCCAAATGAAAAGTGCTTACAAAGGAGAAGTTTAAAACTTCAGGCCCTTATCCTAACCAGAATTCCTACATCCGTCTCCCTGTATCCAGTCTTGACCCGCATTAATTTATCCGATCTTTCTAAAACATAACTAATCACAGCACCCTGTTGTCTCTTCAGGGGCTCACCCCTGTTCTTAGCACGAAGTCCAGAGTGCTTTGTGTATGACTTGGATCCAGCTTTCTCTGAATAGTATGGGCTTGTCTTGATCAGCGTAACCACTACATGTTTTCCTTTCTGGGCATTGTTACGGCTTTCTCTTCAGTTAAGCAGCTTCTCAGTTCTCCAGAGACCCCTCGGGCACTGTGCCTTTGCCTTACCCGTTCTTTCATTTCTGTCTAAAGTCCCCCCCACCCCTTAATCTGGTCATTGATTCTTTCTTCAGTCTTCAGTTCCGTGTCACATTGGCCCTCCGTCCCCTGCCCCCAAGTCTAAGTTCGTTACTCCTGTACTTTTCTCAGGATCAAACTATTTCCCTA